TAAAGTGAAGTCTGAAAATTCAGAGAAAAATACAATTCTCTGGTGAAATATATTATTACAATGGAGCCTTAAAATCGTCTGTTTTTCATTTAAATTATATATATATATATATATATATATATATATATATATATATATATATATATATATATATCATAACTTACTATGCTTAATTTATATATATTTTCATGGTAATTGTTCTGATCAGTTTTATTCTATGGTACTTAGGCTTTATAAAATTTAAGCATAGTATTAGATTGGCACCAAGGTCACATCATTTTACACTTGAAATCGCTAAATGGAACCGTAATTTCTATGCTAAAAATTAATTTTCTCGCATTTTTCTCTTCTGGAACTCTCTTCCGTCTTCATGCTTTTCAGTCAACTTTGATCTTCAAAAATTTAAATGCAATGTCAATCGTTATCTTCTGTCTTCTTAATTCTTATTCTTTTATTGTCCTCTTTCCTTAATAGTAGTTTTTTCTCATATTCTCTAACACTCAGTAACCTCTTGTATACTAGTGGCTTTATTGCCTTTGATGTTTAAAAATTTTAATCCAATGTCAATTGTTATCTTCTGTCTTCTTAATTCTTATTCTTTTATAGTTCTCTTTCTTTAATAGCATTTTTCCATATTCTTTTACGCTCTAGTAACCCCCTTGCATCTTAGGGGATTTATTGCCTTTTGGCATTAAATAATCCCTAGAGGTTGATATGCTGCTAAACAAAGTCAACCAGCTAATGGTATATTCTAAAAAAAAAAAAAAAAGAACGACCTCCAATGTGTACAGCATGCCAAGAACTATACACAATGAAACACTTTACCAACAAATTGTAGTGACTTCACAAAAATCCGTTTAAATTACTACCAAGAAACCAATCAGCATGAAAGAACATTTTCATGACATTAATCCATATAATATCCTCATCCAACAATCCATATAATATCCTAATCTATTAATCCATATAATAACCTATACTTTCTTAAATCAAACTAAATTCCAAATTATAACACCAACAAAACTACAGCATAAAACACACATATCACCGCTTCTAGCAATCATGTCCTAGCAAAGATATATATACACAAAACCTGAGTATCATCTACCATGTATTCAACTGTGAAAGCGGAATAACATATATCATATTTTTATTACTTGAAGGCTCACGAGAAAATTAAATTTCGGCATAAGGTGTTATGCCATTAAATTAACAAATCAATCAATCAAATTAATTTCCAAGTCGCCATGGTTGTTTCAGGCTTCAAACTTAGAAATACTAAAAAAAAAAAAAAAAAAACACGAGCAATCCTCCCAAGATTTGGATAAGATAAACTTTGTACATGTTCACACATCTAATTAATTAAGCTCACAAAGCCATGAGAGCCAGACTTAATGTAGTATCAGAGCATTTATGTTTATTATTATTTTAAACATAACTTTCGCAAATCTCTGTTCAAACCCCGCATTCCGTTTTCTAACTAGAACCTATCTACTTCGAGTAGGATTAAATCAACGAAACATTAATTGCGTGCTCCCCCCCAACTCCTTCAAGATGGAACATTAAACCTAACATTAACCGGGTAATCCACCCCGCTAGCGACCCTTTACAAGCAAGCACCATCATCTTGGTAGCTGCGGTGTCAGAAGTGCTGATTAGTAGCCGGGGAGGTGTGTGTGGTCGAGGTGACAGTTCCACGTGATCAGTCTTTCTTGCCCGTCCATAATCTTTGATTCGAATGGAAAAGCCGGGCCATTCTCTTCACAGAGAATTGGCATCGCTCGATAATCATTGCTCAATCCGGGCGCACTTAATTGGAAAAGACAAAGATGGAATCCAACGCCATCCGGGTCTTTCCATTTACATCTCGTCTGGGCGTACCTACTCACGTCACAAATTAACTTGAAGACGTCTCCTCCATTTAAAATCGCCTTTTCGATTTTATCCAGTGAGAGCAATGTATTGAATAGAAAGTTGCAAGCAAAAAAATCTTTTCCATTGAAAATGTACAAAATACGTATTTAATTGTTGTTGGTTTTTTTTGTTTTTTTTTTTGTTATTACAACTAATTAAAAACTTTTAATCTACTTTAAAACTTGTTTACATAATTAAATAATTTTGGGGGCGAGAACGGACAACTCGACATCGCTCTCTGAGCGCCGGGAAAACTCAAGATTGAGACACCTCAGGACCGAGACAACACGGCACCAGAAAAAATATTTTTTTTTTTTATAACCGAATAAAAGTAATTTATTAAGGATTAAAACCTTAATTAGTTAATATATTTCTTCGCATAATGTATTTAAAAATGCATTATTTAAAATATAAACCAGTTTCTTTTGTTTTTAATTATTTTTAATGAAGTAAATCGTAAATTATTAAATTATTTTTTATAAAAATATTTTAGAATGTCGATTTACTTTCTTAAAAATAATTACTGACAAAAAAAGTTGCATCATTTTGTTTAGCATTTTACGATATTTTTATTAAAAAATAAACCGATTTCTTACAAAGAAAACATATTCTATTCATACGAACATATCCTAATATCTTGTTGGCATTGTAGTAAAATAAGCTTTATTCCACTTTATGAATACATTTGGGAAAAAATCCATTGCTTATATCTACAGTTGACTGTTCCATTCTGAAAAGGAGTGGAAGATATATCTCAATTACATCTGAATACTCAAGCATTAAATAACCCATTGAGGTGTGAATATGCCGTAAAACAAAATAAAACAAACCAAACAAGATTCTCTACGAAAACCTTCTTTGCAAAAATACATTAATGAAACCTATTCTAAAAACTGATTTCTTACAAATAGTACATGTCCTATTCATATGAATCTATCCTAAAAATCTTGTCATTATATAAAAAAAATCATTCATGTTGATATGCCGTAAAACAAAATAAACCAAACCAAACCAAACCAGACTCTCGATGAAAAACCTCTTTACAAAAATACATCAATGAAACCTAATCTAAAAACTGATTTCTTACAAGGAATATATATTCTATTCATATGAACCGATTTTAAAAATCTTGTCGGTATTAAAAAAAATGCGGCTGATATATCATAAAACCAAACCAAACCAAACCAAAGAAGAGCTAAATCCAACCGAAAAAAATAATGCTGCTATATATGGCAGGGGTTGGTCAGTCCTCATTTTTGCCCCAATAGAGCCCAAAAGTATCTCCGCGTCCTTGGGGGTGAAAAATTATTTTCCCTCGTACAATCCTTTTCCCACAGATCAAACAGCGGATACCTCTCGCTGCTCTTTGGCCGTTTCCATGGAAAAATGTTCGGAAAAAGTTCCACTGGTTCTAACCTTCACATCTAGGACCCACCATGTGACATACATTCCAGCGAGACCCCCCCCATTCCATTCGTGTGTTCATTGGTGAGATTTAAGTTCCACTTGAGCTGTTTCTTCCTACGAACCTAATCCAAAATTAATATCTTTCCTCGTTCACTATAAACTTAACCTGTTCAAGTCTCGGGCTAACCGGTATCTTATCCATGTATCCCCATAAACAGAACCGCTGACTTTTAACCCTCTCCTTCGAGTGGCTCATGGGCCTTGTACAGGATGAAATTTATTGTAAACAAATAGGTTGTGCTGGTGTTTTCTCAAGAGGTTATCAAGTCTTCAGTACGTTGCTTAATTTTTGTGAATTTGAATGTGGCTTATATCTTTTACGTACGGTGATATACTTAGCGTAGCTTAAATGTGGCACAAGGCCGGAATTATAGAGCACACATTTAAGTTCAAACTCACTATTCAGTCATAACTGATCTAGTGAAACCAGCTTGTTAATTACACTACGTTGAAGTGCCCGATAAATGTAGTGATCTACTAAGTTTAGCTTCAATGTGGCACAAGGCCTGAGGTATGGGGCATCCAGTGAGGTTCGAACTCACGATTCCATCGTAATTGATCTAGCGAGACAAGCGGGCTAACCTTGATACCACATCGAAGTTCCCTATCTATTATGTATGAATATGAATCGAATTATTTTTTTTTTTTGCAGAATTTGGTGGGTTGAATTAAGTAATAACACTTTTAAATCAAGAATGGGCCATCACTTCAAACGTTGACGCATCACAGAAGGATTTTGGATTCAGCGATTGGTCAATATGTCACTGATAATTCAATCTTTTTCCCGCATTTTCCATATGACTGCTTCAATCTTCGAATTGTTTCCCGGTTGTATTTTCATTTGAATATTTCATTTTCTTTCTTTTTTTTATATTTCAAAACGACAACCGCTGCGTTCTATATAAAAGGAGTTTCGTTTGTTCCTTAAAATATAAGGACATATGACATATAGTATTATATACGTTGAGGAACATCGGGTCGCAAGATAGCGTTGCAGTTTCTAAAACAAGCCAGCTTTTTAAGTGGTTAGGTTGTTAGCCTACTGCACAATCCCCAACTGGTAGGATTAAGTTTTGAATTCACAGTTATACTTCTCCTAGACCAGTTGCTATCCAAGGCTATAGAATCCAGTCTGTTCTGCTATTTAACCATAGCTGGGGGAAGAAGAGGTTTCATACCTTTAGAACATAATGGATTCGACTGGAATTCGAATTCTGATTCCTCAATCCGAGCCTCTATCCATAACTCCACCCTGCCTCCTCTCCTCAAAATTACCCGATATAATTTATGTTAGCCTTCCCTCTCTCTCTCTCTCTCTATTGATGTTTTATTCTTTTCTTTTTTGAAATGACCGGTTGATTTGTTTTTTTACTGTTTATCAACTCTTTGCTGGTTAGTTTAGGAAATATTTTTAGACTATAACAACTTTTTAGGGAGTTAATAGTGGTTTAGTGATACAAATCTTACTAATTAACCCATAGCCCGGGGGAGAGAAGAGATGGACTCATACCTTTTCCAAGAGTAGTTTCGTGTAAGTGAATATAACGAAGACATCGTGAATTGGAATTCGGCTCTCCGATTAACGAATTGCGAACCATCATCCATTACACCACTCGCACTTACAACACCTCGTATTCGTAAGCGGTCACTCATCTATGTACTGACCAGGCTCGACCTTGCTTAACTTCGGAGATCGTAAGGGAAGTCGACTCTCCGAGTAACAATTGCGAACTATCATACCACTCGCACATCCAAGCTTACAACACCTAGTAATCCTAAGCGGCCACCCATCTATGTAATGACCAGGCTGGACGTTGCTTAACTTTAATCGGCATTTCCTTGTGATGCGGCCGCAAGCCCCGAAGTTATAGAGAAAGATTAATTTTAGAAGTTAGTACTTCAATTTATCCCCACCTCCTCTTTGATAAGGGTTGATCGAAAATCTTGCGTCTTTAATGGATTTGAACAACGTTGTACCTTTTCGACATTCTCACCATGTCTTTACTTTTTCGTGTTATATTAATCTATTCGGAATTATATTTTGGCAGATGCACCCGACAACATTCTTTCGGCTCAAGAAGCTGTCATATTCGGTAAGCTTGTAGGAATTTCAAAATGGCTCCCTTATTCAATACACGGGAGCTGATTCAATTATCAGAATATTCCTCTATTTCAGTGTGTTAATGAGAGATGGTTTTGGTGTTAGAATACCAAGAAGCAATTACCTAAAATTTGATAGGCAGGTAGGGATAGAAACGGCTTTATGGACAGGCAGAGTAAAAGAAAGATAAAAGCGAGGATACAGTAGAATATATTTCATATCACAATGTTTCTTTGAGAAGACAACCCAGTATTTTATTTGTGTTAGATTTTTGTTCATAGTAAAGTATACACTGCCAATTCAAGTGAAAAAAAGGTTTTCTTCCAGATCTTAATAAATTGTGTCTTTTTTTGTTATCTCTCCTAAACCCTGTTTCGCTGTCCATTTACTGAAGCTCGCTAGGCAGTGGTTATGCGTTGTCTTTCTTTGTTCCTCTTGCCTTCAATCTGTCATGTGGGTATCAAATGTGCGCTTACAGTGCAGCCTAGAAATTTTAACTGTCTCTTTATAATGTTAATGGTGATTGTCCTTTTTGTGTCCATTTTTTTTAAGCCTTCTTCATTTTAAACGAAAAAAAAATTACAAGAAACATTATAAATATTTACATAACACCAAATGGAAAAAAAACAAAGAAAATTTATTTTTCAGTGTTTATTGAGATTGTCCAGAATTCACTATTCCACTATTCACTATTAAATAAAATAGAAAAAGACAAAATTATTCGCACACTATGAAAAGTAGAAAAACATCGAACAATTTTTTACTATATTAATGGCCTTTTATCTTTATAACTTGCTGCAATCATTTTGTAAAGTTTGAGATTTGAAAAATTCTTTTCTGGGATTTTCTTCCATTCTTTACATGTTCTATTTCCTGAAGGTTTTTTTTATTCACCAACGATTTATTCAAACTTTCAATTGTTGCCATAGATCTTCAATAGGATTCAAGTCAGGACTCATTGAAGGTCATGGCGGAAGTGTAATCTTTTTCTGAAGTCACACAGTCACTGATTTAGACGAATAATTTTATCTATTATCTAATATATATATATATATATATATATATATATATATATATATATATATATATATATATATATATGTTGTGGATTCCGAGATGTAATCCAGTCTTCAATGAATAACAAACGCAGGAATGAAATATAATAAATGAATGTATTGACGTAATAATACAATTGGTAATACCGTTAGTAGATCCAGAAATGTGGTTAGTAGCAATAAATTAGTTGTAGTTAACCTTCTCTTCTGAAAATTGAGTTTTATACTCTTTTTTTTAATACTTATTCACATATGAAAGCCTTGCATCTACCGGATTATGAGAAATGAGTAAAAATATTCACAATTGAGGTGTGTATAAATAATTTCGTCGTTGAGTGTAGTTACATAACAACAAACGAAGAAAAAACAAAGTAAATTCGTCATTCAGTGTGTATTGAGATTGTTCAGCACTTCACTGCCATATAAAAGAACTGATATTACGTTACAGTTCAGTACTCTTTTCTTTGTTTCTAATGAAATTTTCCTTTCTTAATACTTTGCTTAGCTTTTCGGTAGCATCTATTGCTATCCCAATGTGCCGTCGGACATCAATGTCACACTTTTCATCCTCTGTTAAAACACTGAATATTTCATAAAGCCCTTCACATAAAAGGACAGTGAGTCACTACCAATAAAATTTGATTGATTCTAGGGTCACACTTTTATCTGTGAGTTCATTTTAACAAGAAGACTTTAAAATCTGCCTATAACTCTGAAATGAGGCATTATGCATTATTTACATTATTCGGACTGTTATCCTCGTCTTCATTGCCATGTTCACAATGTTTCGGCTGTTGTAGGCTCCGGCCTTCTTCAGGTGATTGGAATTTTTCTTCAATATTTGTCTTTGTCTCTGAGATGAGGTATTATAATTACTTGCATTATTTACATTATTCGGACAGTTATCCTCAGCTCCATTGCCATATTCACAACGTTTCGGCCGTTGTACGCCCCGGTCATCTTCAGGTGATTGGAATTTCGAACCGAAGCCTTTATTTCGTCCACCTGGGTAGATTTTTCTAGTTTCCGGATGTCTCAGTTATTTCCCTTTAACTCAACTCTCCAAGTTTTGGTTCACCACTGGCCTGGTATTGAACTCATAACTTTTGGGGTCTAGTCACTGGATCTTTATCCACTGGGTCATGTGTTGTTGAGGACATCTGTGTATGAATTTTTGTGACTTATAATCCTAATGTCTCTACAACTATTTTTTTTACCAGTTCTCATACTGCAATTTTTGTTATTATTATTGTATTATTTATCAGTGCTCATATTGCAATTTTTGTTATCATTATTGTATTTTTTACCAGTGCTCATAATGCATTTTTGTTATCATTATTGTATTTTTAATAGTGCTCATATTGCAATATTTGTTATTATTATTGTATCTTTTTACCAGTGCTCATATTGCAATTTTTGTTATTATTATTATATTTTTAATAGTGCTCATATTGCAATTTTTATCATTATTATTGTATTTTTTACCAGTGCTCATATTACAATTTTTGTTATCAGTATTGTATTTTTAATAGTGCTCATATTGCAATTTTTATCATTATTATTGTATTTTTACCAGTGCTCATATTACAATTTTTGTTATTATTATTATATTTTTAATAGTGCTCATATTGCAATTTTTATCATTATTATTGTATTTTTTACCAGTGCTCATATTACAATTTTTGTTATTATTATTATATTTTTAATAGTGCTCATATTGCAATTTTTATCATTATTGTATTTTTTACCAGTGCTCATATTACAATTTTTGTTATTAGTATTGTATTTTTAATAGATCTCATATTGCAATTTTTGTTATTATTATTGTATTTTTTTACCAGTGCACATATTGCATTTTTTGTTATTAATGTTGCATTTTTACCAGAGACTTTAAAATCTATTCCACGTCCATAACGAAAGAATAAAGTATATTTTTATGAATTTTAAAATAGAATTCTTGTTAACAAAACAATTTTGGGTCTACGGTTTTTATCACCCCTTGATTCTTTTGTCTTCAAATATTGTCTAATTTTATTTGGGCGTAGAATAGAGAGAAAAAAAAGAAAAAAAAAGAAAGAACTATGGCTTCCTTAGTGCAAATCGTATGACCCCTTACAACTGCGTGGGTTGTAACAATTTCTGCGCCTATTCTCAATAAGATGAATCGAAGCGTGATTGCTTGTAAAAATCTTTAATAATTTTGCACAACTCACACAATAAGAGTTCCACTCACTAATTAGTAATGACCAAACAGACCAGTTCGTTAAACAGTATCTGAAAACCGAATTGCTCAGGAATATTTTCTCATTGTAAATTAAAGATATACGTGGTTCGTGATTAAATGCATACCAGCTCCAGGTGACTTACCATAGCTTTTAATTTAATCATGCTGAAAGTAAGAAATTAAAGATTTAATCGTGTCATCCATGAATAATCTATAGTAATAAATTTCCAAGCGGAGACGATATCAATGAACTGAAAATAACCATAATCGGTAAAACTAGTCATATTAACGCCTATATTTACACATATCATGATGCTTTATCTTTAGTCAACGGGCATTCATATATTCTGATCTATATATGACCACAAAACTGACAAACAAACTGATCGAGACTGAGAAGAAAAAAAAAACAATAATACAAGTCATAATAATAAAATAAGATGATTAAACTATTCAGCAAATCTAACTACACGTTAAGACCAAACTAAACAAAAAATATAAGGAATGTAATAAATATTAAATTAAATTCTTAACTTATTCCAAACATGAATGCTGGACAATCTCCTCAAAGATGAAGAGGAGACTTAAAGCAACTGAAATTCGGTTCTACAGAAGGATGCTGAGAATACCACAGACCAAATATATGACCAACGACGAGGTTTTAGAGATAGTGCAAATAAAAAATACACTTATACTTTACATCAGAAAAACATTTGAAATTTTTAGGTCAAATAATGAGGAAAGAGGAGTTGGAAATTTTGGCACTCACAAGACAGATTGAAGGCAAGAGAAAAAGAAGCAAACAACGCATATCTTATCTCGAAATCTTGACTAAATTTATTGGGGAACAGGTTTTAGAATCGATACCAAAAAAAAAACAAAATTTATTAAGAGCTACAAACCTCTGATCTGTTCACTTTAATCTGTCCTGCGAGTATTAAATTTTCCAAGCCCTCTTTCCTCATTGTGTGCCCTCGAAATTTCAAGTGCCTCTTCCTGATGTTAAGTATAAGTGTGCTTTTTGTTTTTATTTCCTTTAAAACTTTGTCGTTACATTTTCGCTTTATGGTATTCTCGACATCCGTCTATAGAATCAGATTTCTATCGCCTGAAGTTTTTTTCATCTATGCGCAGATTGTCCAGCATTCACTGCTATATAGCAGGACTGATATTACGTAGCAGTTCAATACTCTTGTTTGTTTCTAAGTAAAATCTCCTCTTTCGTTGCTTAGCTTTTAGAATGTAATTTTCAGTTACTGTCTATATTTCTGAGATGAGATATTAAACAGCGTCTATAGATTATATGCAAAAGAGGTATTGTCAAATAT